AAATAATTAAATCAAAATATAAATAAAACAAAATCTATGAAAATTCAATTTGTGAATGCAATAGGATACATTGAAGTGGATTTAGTATAGCATGTGTTGCTCTTATGTGCAACAGATGGCGCTGTTCCTTAAAAAAAAAAATGTGTTTAAATGTCACAGGTGTGTCATTTATATAGTAGTATATAAAAACAGGCGCTTATTTGAATGGAATGTTGAGTCAAAATTTCAAAGAAATTGGTAAAGAACTTTTGGAGATTACAGCAAGTGTTGCTCTTACGTCCAACAGATGGCACTGTTTATAAAAAAAAATCATGTTTTTTCCTATCACAGGTAAGACATGTATATAGTAGGTATATAAAAACACTCGCCTATTCGAATGCAACCTTGTGTCAAAATTTCAAAACAATCGGTAAAGAGGTTTAAAAAATTTCCCTCACATGAAAAAAGCCATGAAAAACACAGTTTTTCAAACAAAGCATGTAACGCTTTCCCCATCACAGACGTGGCATCTATACAGCATGTATATAAAAACCCGGATGCAAATGGAAGGTTATGTGAAAATTTAAAAGCAATCGGTGAAGAACTTTCGGAGATTAGCGATTATGAACAAACGAACATTTCCATTTTTATTTATATAGATATTTATAGTAAGTATGTACTTATATATAAGTATATGGCATTTATATATATGTATATTTATATTTATATATAAATCTAACACTTGGAAGGGATCAGGATAAGGATTTGGGATGGGATGGGGAGGAATGGTGCCAAACCATTTGGACGGTCGGGGATTGAACGCCTAGGACTGCTACTGTGCATTTAAATTACTAACTTACCTGAGAGTCTATATCCCTACATGTCAATGTTTGTGTATACTGGTAATGTGAGGATCATACAGAAGATAAGGGTAGCTGAACACCACAAAATGCTGAAGGACAACTTTATTAATGTTGCATAATACGGCTATTGACATTCAATAATAGTAAGACAAAGCAATGAGGACAAAATGGGAGACCAGTGATCAGATGCATATTACAGACTGAAGGGTAGCCTTCTATTGAAGCGAAGGCTAAACAACACAGGTCAATTCCAACACAATGTCACACAAAATAATTCATTACAAATTAAAATAAATCGAAATCTATGAAAATTAAATTTATCAATGCAATTGGAAACATTGAAATGGAATTCGTAACATATTTATTATTGCAAGTGTGATGTTATTACGTGCAACAGATGGCACTGTTTTGGAAAAAAAACATGTTTTATCTGTCACAGGTGTGGCATCAATATAGTAGACATATAAAAACATTTGTATATTCGAATGGAACGTTGTGTTAGAATTTCAAAGCAATCAGTGAAGAACTTTCGGAGATTACAGCATTTGTAGCTCTTACATCCAACTGAAGGCGCTCATTTTCAAAAAAAGCATGTTTTTTCCTGTCATAGGAGAGGCAAGTATATAGTAGGTATATAAAAATACGCGCCTATTCGAATGCAACGTTGTGTCAAAGTTTCATAGCAATCAGTAAAGTGGTTCCGAAGATTTCCCTCACATGAAAAAAACATGAAAAAACATAGTTTTTCAAAAAAGCATGTTTTTTTCCGTCACAGACGTGATATCTATATAATATGTATATAAAAACCTGCTCCAATGAGAATGGAACGTTGTGTGAAAATTTCAAAGCAATCGGTGAAGAACTTTCGGAGATTAGCGATTTTGAACAAACGAACATTTTCATTTTTATTTATATAGATTGATTTTTTTTTGTGACATTGTGTTGGAATTGAGCTGTGTTGTTTACCATACTATTCATTTCGTAAGTATAAGTATAGATGCGATACCTGTGACAGGTAAAACTATGCATTTCTTGAAAAACAGCGCCATCTGTTACATGTAAGAGGAACAAACATGCTATACTAGATATGTTACAATTCCATTTCACTCTTTGTGATTGCATTGATAAATTGAATTTTCCTAGATTTTGATATATTTTCTTTTTGATTTAATTATTTTGTTTGAATTGCATTGAAATTGAACTGTGTTGCTTACCAAACCGGTCATTTCGTGAGAATTGTTTATTTTTATATTTTTTCATATTTTCATTTCATTTTTAACTGTTTTTCTTATATTTCAGTGATAGGAACATCATATCACTTGATGTTCCCAATTTTCTGATGTGAACATCAGACCATTTGGGAAGGCATCAGATGAGGAAGTGGGGAATGGTGGGGATGACGAGGGGATGGAAGTCAGAGATGGTGGCGAGGACGAGGGGAACAAGGCAGGGGGTAATGAGGGGAAGGAAGAAGGAACGGGGGAGTTTTGGATGGTGGGGATGAGGTGATGGGGAAATGGAGAACGGTGGGGAGGATAAAGGGACAGGGAAATGGGGGCATGCTAGGGAGGAAGAGGGTATGTTGGAGTGGGGAATAGTTGGGAGGATGAGGGGCCGGTGGAGTGGGGAATGGTTCAAGGGGTTTTGGGGGATTTTCCCGGAAGTTTGGCGTGTGAGCGTCCGGTGTTTGGGTATGCGGTCAGGAAAGATGGGAGGTCATGTTGTAAGGGGTGTAGGAGAGTATGTGTGGTATGTGGTAGAGTAAGAAATACGAGGATATGAGTGGAATATGTGGAAAGAGTAGTTAAATATGTATGTGTGTTTGCCGTAGACTTAATCCTGTGTGTAGATAATAGTTTTGATGATAGTAAGTAAAGCTATGTAGAGGCTGAGTGTAGGTGTGAGGGGTCCCAACATAGACGGATATGTTGTTTGGGGTGGGGGAGGGGTGGGGAGGGGTGAGGGAAGGGTGAGGGGAGCTTCCCCTCGGCGTGAGAGTGCTTAGGGCCATTTGTGGTTTGTGGTTTTTGACGGGCATTATTCTTTCCTTCGAGAGAGCAGAGTCCAGGAGGAGATGAGAGCTGCAGCAGGAGGGATGTGGTCCATTTACCCTAAATCGTTTTTTCATGTCTATTTTCTTCGAGTTATGCAGCTGTGTTTGGTTCCCCCGGTGTGAGAGTGCTTAGGGTCATTTGTGTTTTTTTTTTAACATCCATTATTTTCTTGGAGCTATGCACACAGCCGGAAGTGAGAGAGGAAGAGGGTAGGAGAGAGCAGAGTCCAGCAGGAGGGAAGTGGACCATTTACCCGCAATCGTTTTTTCAAGTCTATTTTCTTCGAGTTATGCAGCTGTGTTTGGTGATGATCCATGAGGGTAATAGTTCGGCCATACATGGTAGGAAGTGTGGAGGAGGAGGAGGATGAGGATGAGAAAGAGAGAGCAGTCACTCTTAAGTTGTGAATGAGATGAGGTAACAGTTGGTGGAGAAGGTCTGTTTTATGTAACTATGCATGGTAGTGTACAGGTGACAGACCTGGACGGATGTGAACCATTACCCACTTACCCTTAAGCGTTTTTCAAAGTCCGCAGAGGGGTGTGTGTGTGTACTGCCCACTGGTCAGAGGGTAATTGAAGAGCATTTCCAAGTAGCTGGTTATATCTTCCCCTCCCAGAGGGTACGCAATGACTGCCATTACTTCCTCAGACACGGGCGGAAGTGGCCGGGTATCCATTACCCACTGCGTTTCGTTAAGGAAAGGGAGATGTAGCTACGGTCAGCGACTCCGTCTGTTCCACTTACCACCCCCCTCTCACTGGGGAAGTGACGGCAATGGGGTGTACCTCTCTCTCTCTCTCTCTCTCTCTCCCTTAGGTGAGCAATGTTCCCCACATACAAAGTAAACATATATAAGACAATGCGGAAAAACATAGTTTTGATACTATTATTAAATTGACTTGTTCATTATCCTCGAGTTCAACACACACACACACACTCTCTCTCGCTCTCTCCCTTAGGTGAGCAATGTTCCCCACATACAAAGTAAACATATATAAGACAATGCGGAAAAACATAGTTTTGATACTATTATTAAATTGACTTGTTCATTATCCTCGAGTTTAACACACACTCTCTTTCTCTCTAAGACCTACGTTATCCAATGTAAACAGACCGGATGAGACGATAGTGAAATAGCTCTGGGTTATATCTGTTTTCAGTTCTTATAACATTTGAAAATGTATGTGTGGTTACTCATTCCGTCTCGTTAGGATCTGACCTTGTGTCTTTCCATAGCGCGAGTTTTCACTCATTATCAGCCATTAGTGATCGTTCGATCCAGCAGAAAAAAAAACAGACACTGCTGACTGTGTGACAGTTTCAGCCCTCTGTAACGTAACGTAACGTAACGTGGAAATCATCATCATCATCTTTCTGTCTGATGTCCAAATAACATTTTTTGTAAATTTAATTTTAAACAAAGGTGAGCCACCAGTCCACGAACTAAGAGGGGAGAGGTGTTCACCACACCTACAAATTCTAATATATTTTTTTGTTAACTGCGTGATCACAACATATACCTCCTGATCTCTTGTTCTACCTCACACTAGACAATAAACACAATTTTGGGTCATTTCTTGACTAAAATAGCACTCCGAAAACATCTTTGCCCTTTTTTTATTTTAAAATTGTTAGCTCTAGTTATGACTGTTTTAGCAGTCTATCTGATAGAAAAAAACAGAGACTAGTGTTAGCATAATAGGTGAAAAATAGTTGATCATTCTCTTATTACGTTTTATTCAATAACTGGTAGACATAACATAAGTCACATATTTATCTTCGTAAAACATAATAACTGACAGACATAACACACAGCATAATGCAGTCACATGGTGTTAGCATAATAGGTGAAAAATAGTTTATCATTCTCTTATTACCTTTTATTCAATAACTGGTAGACATAACACATCATAATGTAACCACATGGAGATAACATAACATATCACATTGTCATAATGCAGTTACATGACTACTAATTATCAGCGGAGTTTCAAAAAGTTTTTTTTAGCTTTAGGCTTAGATTTTAGATTTTTTTTAGGTTTTTCTATTGTCAGACGATTATCACTTCGTTTAATCTGTCGTTTGGGTGGGGGAGGTGCTATTATTTCATGCTCAACCTCGGTATCACTGTCACTGGTGGTATCAATATAGCTGGATCTATTAAGATCGTCCCCAACTCGTATCCTTCGCAGAGGGGTAAAGTTTTCGTCATCATTATCACCGTCTGAGTCATGGTGTTACACTCATCACGACCTCTAGCCCGAGATGTGGCTTTGTGTGAACTTAGTTTAGAGTTGTGGGTTGTGGAGGAGGAGGGGTGTGAACTGGGTTTAGGGTCAAGGTTTGTAGACGTTCCTTGGAGTGAACTAAGTTGGGGGTTGAGGAAAATATTCATATCAATATCTGTAAGCAATCCCCGTTGTTGGCTATCTGTAAGCATTATACGCTCATCCAGTAAGGCTTCTACATTCAAATCATTTTCGGTCTGAGTAGCGGGGTTATCCTCTGAGAGAGAAATAGCGGCAAACACCGCATCATCAAGACCTTCACTCATAGTCAAGTGATCTGGATACTCACCCCGCTGTGAAATATCCACACTCATTCTTGCAACTTCTTCTTCAGTTCTATTATTGCTAGTAGTACTACTAGTAGTAGTGTCACTACCTACTCTTCACCCCCAGTTAAAAGGCTGGGGGACAGCACCTCTTCAACGGTATTCATAAAATATAATGAGTTATTCCCCCTCTGATCAGCAGTCGGGCCAGCGAGTACACAATGAGGGATGGTGTTACTACTACTTCTATCACCACGATCTCCATCAGCAGGAGCAGTAGCGAGTGTGGTAGTGGTGTGTGTAGGGAGACAAGCATTTGTGGTGCGTGTGACACCAGCAGGGGTGACACCAGCCGCGCCCTGGTCGCTACGGTCACCAGCACCAACGTGGGAGGGGGGGCTATCACCGTAGCTGACTGGAGTAGGTGGGGAGGACACAACCACCTCCCTGGTGTTTATGTGTATGTGTGTGTTTCCCAAGAATATGAAAATATTCCCTCTGAAGGTGGTGCTGCTGCTGCTGCTCACACCGCGGCTGCTAGCTTTCTCCAGGTAATCTAAAAAAAAAGTTTACATTACTAGCATAACACACACACACACACACACACTCACTCTTCCCATTATTGTTATTATTTGTTACATCAACATTAGCAAACAACAAGAAGCATCTTAGCACAATATAACTCGCTATATACCCCCTTTCAAGAGGGTGCCTCCTTACCACACACCTCCACCTCCCACAGCGTTAATAATAATAATAAAAATAATTAATAAGGATAATATAAAAGAATCAACTTTAGATTTGTTTATTAAGAGATAATAGGAAGAAGTAGATGTACTACATCTCCTCGACATACAGGACATTTGTCACATCTTGTTACACAATCCAAACATATTACCATATGCCTACACGGAATGAGAACAGTGTTTATTTCTTGAGTGAAACACACCTTGCAATAAAACCTAGCTACACCAGGCATTGCATTCTCTTCCGCAACAACAACATCCACACGTTCATCTACCTCCACTACTGGGGGAACTGGGCGGGGGAAAATAACACCTTGGGACGATAATACTTCTAAGGGAGATTCAGTTACCGCATCTGTGTCCTCACTTTCATCCACTCGATCTAAAAACCATAACAACACCTCTTCACAGTTAGATTCGCCAAGGAGAGGTAATATATCATTTTTAATCTTGAGGTATTCTCTTAGCGCAGCTCGCAGGGCGATGTATGGAAATCTCACTGTAGCAGCGAGTCCATTGAAATAATCAAGTCCATGCAGGAGCGCGTTAATCAGTGTTTCGTCAATGGGTTTTGTCAGTCGAGGAGGGGAGAAAGGGACCGCATTTTTAATGAAAGCTCGATCCTTCTTCAAGTTTAAGTAGATGCAGTCGGGGTAATAACGGGCGTGGAGCGTCCAGGGGTCGTCCGAAGGTATGAAGTTAACAAGTCCACCACCACAATAAAAGCATCGTATATGGTCTCCAACTCCTAAGAAAAAAGAAAAATATATAAATATTTTTTTATAAATAAATAAATAAATGAGAAAGTAAATACTAGTACGTCTCAAACAGACTTGGCTCGTGTGATTACATTAAGACAATAATAATAATAATAATAATAATAATAATAATAATAATAATAATAATAATAATAATAATAATAATAATAATAATAATAATAATAATAATATCTTCCACTACTCACCACAAGAGAAAAAGCCAGCATGGGACAATTCTGCTGGAGACTGCCCACACATATCAGGCCAGATAATTCCAAATGATACCAAACGAGACTTATACTCCGCCATCTCCGGATATATGGGCATAGAGAATGGTGGAATTCCCGAGATTTCCCCGCTCCATTCCACAGCACCTACAATTATTAAAACAAATAATAATAATAATAATATATATATATATATATATATATATATATATATATATATATATATATATATATATATATATATATATATATATATATATATATATATATATATGTCGTACCTAGTAGCCAGAACTCACTTCTCAGCCTACTATGCAAGGCCCGATTTGCCTAATAAGCCAAGTTTTCATGAATTAATGTTTTTTCGTCTACCTAACCTACCTAACCTAACCTAACCTAGCTTTTTTTGGCTACCTAACCTAACCTTACCTATATATATAGGTTAGGTTAGGTTAGGTAGGGTTGGTTAGGTTCGGTCATATATCTACGTTAATTTAACTACAGTAAAAAAAAATAGACCTCATACATAGTGAAAAGGGAACCTTTATCATTTCAAAAGAAAAAAATTAAAGTAAATATATTAATTCAGGAAAACTTGTCTTATTAGGCAAATCGGGCCTTGAATAGTAGGCTGAGAAGTGAGTTCTGGCTACTAGGTACGACATATATATATATATATATATATATATATATATATTTATATATATATATATATATATATATATATATATATATATATATATATATATATATATATATATATATATATATATATATATATATATATATATATATATATATATATATATATATATATATATATATGGGGGGATACATAAGGGATAAACATAGGGGCTGCAGAAGGCTTATTGGCCCATACGAGGCATCTCCTATCTAAACACAAAGATTACTCCAGTGTAATTGGCCTGTTATGTTGGACATTGTCTTCTGTGTTGGCATCGATATGTTCTTGTCTTGTCCTTACTCTCATGGTGGGTAGAGTAAATAGTTCCGTGATTTGGGTGTTCATGGTAGGTCGCTCTATTCTTATGTGAATTGCCTCAAGAATTTGTAATCTTCTTGAATCTTGGGTTTTGTCTATTATGCAAGTATTCTTGTTCAACATTTCTCTTGTTAGAGTAATGTCATGGGCTTGTCTCATGTGATTCCTAGGAATCACATGAGACAAGCCCATGACATTACTCTAACAAGAGAAATGTTGAACAAGAATACTTGCATAATAGACAAAACCCAAGATTCAAGAAGATTACAAATTCTTGAGGCAATTCACATAAGAATAGAGCGACCTACCATGAACACCCAAATCACGGAACTATTTACTCTACCCACCATGAGAGTAAGGACAAGACAAGAACATATCGATGCCAACACAGAAGACAATGTCCAACATAACAGGCCAATTACACTGGAGTAATCTTTGTGTTTAGATAGGAGATGCCTCGTATGGGCCATATATATATATATATATATATACGCTCACCATTCCTATAAACGCAACATGAACGATAACTATGTGTTCAAACACACACACACATACACACACAATCTTATTATCAAGCTATTCACAATGACTATACAACCAACGTTATTCACAGAGACTAAGAGATAACACTTAATTGTGATGGGTACTTACAACTGTTAGCTGAATTTCCCACTCTTTCCAGTTGCAGGACGGAATAGGTGAAATTCAATCCATAGGCATAGACCATGTTGCTTAGCGCAATGCTGACATTTTCAGTGCGTTTACCACTGATGAAAGGACAGTGTGGTGCTGCAGCTACATGTCGACTGCGAGGGGTGTCCTCCCCCTCCACCCACCCTCCAATTAAAGCATAACAGAAACTGCATATGCAGTAATCCACGGATTTGGTGAAGTAGAATCCGTCACTGGCTAAATCCTGGGGCAAAAGCCAGTCAAGACGCCATCCCACAAAAGTGTCTAGCCTCATCTGCTCACAACGCAATCGTTCCATGCTGCGGAAAGTTTTGGTGCGAAAGACGTCCATGCTTGGTCGAACACTCAAAAAATTGGACCGTTGGTAAAGGTTTCGACCGTTCCCTAGTACGCTATTTATCCTCGAGAATGATCCCCTGCCGCGGTCGACGCATTTCGCTACATATTCATTGAGAAATCTATGTATTAGCTTACAAGGTAAACCCAACTAGTTTAAGCAGTGCTGGTAGGAAAGATGAAATAGGCAGCTTCGCGTGGATGTGAAAAAAAAAAAAATCTAATCTGTTCTATCCAGTAGTGGATTAAAGTTTACACACACTCTAAACACTCGCCCAGGGAGAGTAGTTTTTGTCGAGATAAATATGTTATATATATATATATATATATATATATATATATATATATATATATATATATATATATATATATATATATATATATATATATGAACAAGCCTGAATGGTCCCCAGGACTATATGCGAATGAAATATAGTTTTCATTGAGTTTTGAGTAAGTGAGTTTTCATTCTCATATATATATATCTATATCTATATCTATCTATATATATATATATATATATATATATATATATATATATATATATATATAATACCTACTTATATAATACCTAATAATAATATATATAGGTTAGGTATATATATATATATATATATTATATATATATATATATATATATATATATATATATATATATACAGCACCGCCTTAGACTAATTTCTATAGTCTAAGATTATAGACTATATAATCTACAGCACCGCCTTAGATAGATTCTATAGTGAACGAGATGTGAAGGGATATACCAAGCTCTCCTCAACTTAGAAAAAAAAAATCGTAGCGTGGTGCAAAGTCAATATAAAACCTCATTGTTGAGATTATAGTATTACACCTAGAATACTGCTAGAATGGACTATAATCCAAATAAATAATAAATAAATAAATAATAAATAATAAATAATATAAAATACGTAGCTATGGAGTATGGTTAATCATTAACTGGAAACTATCCTGGGAGCATGCGCGCACGCGCGCCACACACACACACACGATGAGGATAAAAGGGGGTGGGTAGATCACACTAATTCATTACTGCCCGCTCATCGCACCCCTGTGTTTCATCTATATTGCGTTGGGGGGAAAAAAAATGAACTCCATAGCCAAAATGAACTCTGTAGAAATTCATCACGGATACATGACGGATGAGGAGTTTAACAATCGAGAGTGCTGCATTGTCTACTCTGTAAATTGTATATCATGCTCCCCCTACGGCATGTCGCAGGACATTGCTGATAAGTATTCTCACGCCAGCGCTTACGCCAGAACGCAATTGTATAATCTAAAGAGATGCATCAGAGAAGACCGTCCAACACCGGGATCCATTCACATCAGCAGAGACAGTCAAGGACCAAGCATAGTAGCCTTGGCAACTCAGTATGGATTAGGGAAGCCTATTGAGAGGAATGATATTGCTCAAGCCATTACCGATAAATCAAAAGATTACTCTATGGTTAAAGGTTTGCGTGCTGATACGAAAGAAAACCGCTTGTTATACTTGACGAAATCATTAGAAGAACTCTTATTGTATATTGAAGATACTGAGGAGATCAAGAAAGTTATTCTTCCTTGGGGTGTAGGTATGTCAGGTCGGTGTGAAGATGCAGAGTGGGAAAGTACTCACCTCCCCATTATTCAAAATATGCAGGGGAGTTTAAAACCTTATAACGTCAAAGTGATTTTAGTCCGTCCCAGGGAAACAGGGACGAAACAAAACAGGAAACCCACTAACCTTCGCATGACCGTATAAAGGGGTGGCTGCTCTCCGCTCTCCGACTCATTTCCTCTACTCTACTCATCAGATAAGATGTTGACGACTGTAGCTGGCAGCCTTTCATCTTTTTCGGAGTACTCTTACTCCGACTGCATCATCTACGATATGGACGCCAGTAGCGTGATGATGAGTGGGGTGGTTGAAGAATTATGGACTCGTTATCCCTATGCTCGCATTCATCGGAGCAAACTACCCTACAAAAATCGTGCAGAGAGAAGAGACCGAGCCCTGCCTGGAGAGATTGTCTATGGTGAACCCCCTCAATTCAACAATCGAATTGGTGATGACCCTCATCTACCTCATCTCATCGGATTAATAACACATCACGCCGGAGGGAAATCATCTAAACCCCTGAACATGTCGATGAAGGAAATCAAGACATTATATGCTGCTGACCCGCACTACTACAGAGGCTTACAGTTGGATACAGAAGAAATGCGTCGCTATTGGTTTACAAAATCTCTGCGTAAGGCCTTTGCAGTCATCTTAACAAGAGAAGAAGAATATAAAATTAATCGCATAATTTTCCCTTTTGGACTTGGGATGGGCTGTGGTCAGTACTGGAAGAGCTACAATCAGGAAGTATGGAGACTGAAATATCTACCCATAATGATGAAGTTGGAGCGGCATTACCAGCGTCGCGGGTTGAAATTTGTGATGGTTGACTCCGCAAGCAATGCAATCCCTGCAGCATTGCCTACACACGGTGTGCTTACACATAAGTTAAGTGAAGGAGTTGCCTCTGCTTATCATCGGATGAAGAACAACAACTTGAACGCAGATGTGGTCGAAGCTGGAGGTGAAACTACAAAACCCCCTTGCAAAGCCGTGCCTATAATAGACCTTACAGGAGATATCGAACTCATTGATTTAACAGTCGACTAGAAATATATATATAAACTATTGTTACCATTTTTCCCTGCTTGCAATTAATAATAAAAATAATATTATACTCTGTGTTTATCTTCCCACTTTAACAAACAGTTGAGTGCGTTTATAGATGTAATAGAGGAATGAAAAGAGTAAATGGTAACTCTATACTGTATATAATTCTTACATCCGCAAACTTGCGTTTAATAACTGACGAGATGTGTTCAAGGTATATGCTTCATAAGCTATCCAGTCTTAAAGACTGCAAAGTAGAAGGTGATTATCTGGCAACGGATGAGTTCCATCCTGGTGACTGTATAGTGTATGATATTCCTTCAATTCACACCCATTCAGGAGGAATGTCTTGCGAGATCTGGGAAAGGTATCCTTATACACGACTACAGCGTGCGATCCAACCATTAAGTAACTATGTGGTGGTGGCTGATCGCGTC